TTAATATTTCCCCTCCACCATTGGTACATAAGTATGGTAACAAAGCCATAAAAACACAGTAGTTGACCTTTGGACAGTACCTGGTGTTTCACAGTTAACGCACAAGGTATTCCAAATGAAATAACAGAATGCAAAGGTCATCTGTACAGTAAATACCAAGCATTTGCAAACAAAGCATTGGGTATAAAGACAATTAGGAACTCTCTTGTATTATGTATGAACCAACACTTACTGAATGAACCAATAAGCACTGAAATTTGTATTTCTATGGTTAGTTTCCCTGAACATATATGTATTAGGATAGAATCCTAGCTTTTCAGTAATGCGTTATGAACCATTTATAGATCCATTTTTTTCAGTTAATTTAGTACTCATGAAAATTGCTTGTTTGACAGTTGCAGAAATTGAACACCCAGGAGAATAGCACAGGAGGCGTAAAGAAATAACTCCTACCTCCTCACACAGGTATCTCTGGTGATGAAGCACAAAGGGCAAATGAAGATTGCTGGGAGAGACACGAGCAAGCAAGACAAGGAACTCATAGGGTTTGGCACAAAAAAGGTCCTTACCCCATTACATCACGGCGTGTAGCAGCACAACGGGTTCAACCAGACCAGGGAACGGACCATAAATTCACACTTACAAAATAAAACCCTTATGGCTGAAGAATCTTCCCCTTTTCCTTCTCGTGCACTTTTTGCCTCACTGTCGGCATTTTCGTTTTAATCAGCTCAGAAGCTTGCTTTTGAAAACACCTCCCACCTGTTTCCCCTTTCATATAATGATGCCTTAATGGCCCTGAGCAGCCCCACCTGGGGCTCTCTCACCGCTGACCATGGGCCCATCTCAAACACCACCCTGGGGCTTTGGGCCAAAACAATTGAGTTTTTCAGTAGCATCCTCATGCCCTGGAACTGTCAGCACACTTTACATGGTTTACCAGACTTATTTACAGCACCTTGCCCCTTCTCCTACAGGTGTGAATTAAAAGAATATCCTCACAAATATGCATAAAGGCTTTAATTTACTGGATCTTGTTTACAATCAGCGAAAGTCCTCCAGATTTTCAATAAAATCCCTAAAGAACTGACAAGTACCAAAAAGAATTTTATTTATTTATTTTTTTTTTTTTAAGATTGCAACGATTAGACTTAACCAGTAATATGGAAAGCATAAGAGGAATGGACTTCTCCATCTAAAGTCTCTGGCTATTATAGAAGCATTTGCCATACATTCTCAGTCAGAAATATTAAATGACTGGTAGCTTAATTTCTAAAACCAAAATTCTTCAGTGCTTGTAGACTAAGAAAAGTATGAATTTCTTGATGTCAGTTTGGTCTAAACAGCTTCTACTGCCTTGATTCAGTGATTTGAAAAATGATGACTTAGAGTTTTGAAAGTGCTGAGAGATGTTATAGCCTGGTCCTCTTATGATCAACTGATCTTTTCAGCTCTTAATGGGAAAATAAATCACAGACAAAAGATAATCCTGTTGCACAGAAGCGAAAAAGGTGTGATATCAATAGACTTTTATAGAAAAAGAAAACTCTGTGAAAGGGATAAAGTAAATAAGGTAGTTTGTTCTGCTGATGCTCATGTTGGCAAGGTAAAAGCCCTCTTCAGGAGCTGCCTATCTCAAGAAATGAGAATTAAACACAAATTGTAGTCAGAGAGTTAAAAAAGCTACAAGGCATGTTTTTTTATTGTAAACCCATCCTCATCCACAAAAATCTAGAATTTCAAGGGTCTTTCTAGTTTTTTACTGTTCTTATTTCTTCTTTAATGGCAAAGCTGTCAACTGTTAGTTTGTTTTCTTTTCATATTCACCAGTTCTCTCTTATTTCACTTTTGATGCTGCAGGTGACATTAACAGTATGGGAGAAGGAGCCAAATAAAGCTTTGGTATATTCTAATTAATGATTATTCTAATAAAAATTACTTTGATATGGCAACCAGCCTAGAGCATCTTCTATGATCTTTAAATTTCAATGTGATACATATTACTTATAACCTACAAATGTAGGTGTAACACAATGGCAAAGCACTCAGGAAGAAAAAGCCCATTAAGTATTTGGCCTGTATAAGAACTGATTGCACAGTCAATCTCTGCAATGTAAATAGGCTTTTTCAGAACATTTGTTTGCATTCATAATTAAATTAAACTATAACTAAAAAAAAAAAAAATCTCTATGGGAAGATCATATATATAAATATTGCTTTCCCACTGTTAACTACAGAAAAATGAAGGTACAGGGATTGAGCCGAGGAGGTCACAATAATTACCAGTGAAATGGTGCATGGAGAGTGCATTGTTAAACGTCATCCCACTGCAGAGCTTTAGAAGACTGGTAAATAAGCATGTTGGGAGCACATACTGGTTTTCCTAGTAACTTTTGTGACTTCAAGAAACAGTCTGAAACTGCTGCTGTCCTCAGCATCTAATTGACCATGGACATCAGGCCTCTTGAGGACATCAGGCTCTTGGGGTCAGTGGATGGAGACTGCTGTTGCCCTCCACCAAGCACACGTTAAATAAATCCAGTTCCCCCCATCTCCTCACAGTGTTTTTCGTAGGTACACCGTGACTCAGTGGGCTGTATCCTGCTTGCACATTCCTGCCTACCACACAGAAAGGATGTTATTTAAACAATTGAAACAGTTCCCTGCTATCTTAAAGCCATTCTTTGTGTCTGTGTTACTTCTTCAATGTTCTGATTAGAAATTACTGGATTATTCTTTGGGGACTGAAATGCTAGACTCCCATTTCCCCTCACATGGTGTTGGTGTCACCCCTGAGGACTGCGAAGTGGCATTGGGGTTTACAGGAGATGAACTTTGGCACTTCTGCATGCATTTACCTGAGGAAAGGCCAAGCATAGACCTGGCTAGATTTTTATAGCTTGGATTTTAAAGGACATGTAAGGGGGATCTGGGATGGATAATATCACTTCCCATTGAAAATCTATTTCGTTATGATATAAAATGCATGAGTGTCTTATCTGTATCAATAAAGACTAACATGAGAAACAGTACTTATCACAGCTGATAAGATGATAACATAGTTCTCCAGGGGCACTATTTTTCTTTGAATTTTCTTTTGTCACTCAGTAGGCAGATTTCTTGGACGTGCTCTAAGTAGCCAGTGTCAGAGTGGCTTTAATGTACTATTAACTTCACCTTTATATATTAATTTGTCACAGTAGTATAAACCAGAAGAAAAAAGTGCCTGGTACCTCTGTGCTGCAAAAAGCCAGCTTAGACTTCTGTCTAGCTTTACAGTATCAGCCCATCTGTTTTAGGTGAAAACTTGAGCAGTAATGTTAACCTCAAGTACGTTAACCTTTGGATGCCATGAGACATGATAGACAGGACCATTATTTTTATGGCACATTTTTTCCTGAGCAAAGATCCTAGGCAGTAAGGAAGGATAGAAAATCCTGGGTTTGCCTCTCTGTCTCCAAACAAAATACAGTGTACGATTGTTGAAAACCAAGGCAGACTACATTATCAACACACAAATACCCAACAACTATAAATCTAAGGGAACCCAATAATGAGTCAAAACCATGAGGCTGATGATTTATTCAGTCTCACTGAATTTACTGGCATAAATACTGATTCCTCATAAACCAGAGCTCACCCTCCAGTTTCAGCTGAAGGCAAGACTGATGTGGAGCAGTTGAGGAGGTGGCAAACATCTACTGCTCCCCTGAAACCTTCCCAAGATATGTAAATGAAGACTTGAAGTTGGGAATATTTTTACATCTCTCATATCTTTCAATTTCATGATAATTTTTGAGTCAAAATTCCTAGTTTATGTATAGTACAAAACTAATTGAGGAAGTTGTTGTCCAACAGCTATCATCTCCAAGAAACCACATACAATACACAATATTTAGCAGTTCTGGTAATAGTCTCCAGGTAACTTTTAAAAAGTAGGAGAAAATGTTGCAGCAGCTTCACATTTATACTTGATTAATTCAAAAGCGTATAAATTTTTAAATGCAATTTAAGGTTTAGGATTTTTCTTAATTTCTGAGATTTTTTTTTCTTGTTAAGATTTTATTTTCTTGTTAAGTAGTATCAGAAGGTTCACTATCATCAATGATATTTGCTGAGCAATTAAATGTGGGGATATTTAGTCTTTGTCAAGAGTAGTAAACTGTTTGGAGAGGTGAATGTATTTGTCATTTATCCTAATTGGCTACCAACATCAGCTTCCACACCTGTAACATTATTTATTGATCACCATTAGATTCATTTAGGCCACATCTGTGAAAAATGGTTTTGGTATTTGTGGAAATATGTTCATTATATGTGGAAACTGTGGAAATATGTTCAGCAAATATGTATAGGTTGGTTCTAATTCTGGTTCTCAGATCCCCAAAATATTAACTTTTCCTCTTCTCATTTCCTGGGGTCAAATCTTTGTCTTTTCAAAATCAGCGGTAAATCTTCCACTGACTTTGACAGAGCCAGTATTATACTTTTAGTATTTACTTTTCAGTTCATTTCAGCACCTTTTTCTCTTTTACCAGTTTCCTTTGGATCCCTATTCTACTTTTGATTTTTTGTTAAGTATCAACATCCAAACAATCTGTTATTTGTCCTTTTAACCTTTTTTTCCACCCCTCATTTTGATTCTTTGGTTTCTACATATGCTTTGTTTTTTGCCACCTTATTTCATGTATCCATTTCCTCCTTTTTTTTGTTTTTTTTTTTTTTTTTTTTTGTTTTTTTTTTGTTGTTGTTGTTTTTTTGTTTTTTTTTGTTTCTCATCTCCTGTTTAACTACTATTTTCCTCTGCTTACTCTGCTCTTTTTTTCTCTCTCCTAGCTGACATTTCCCTCTGTGCAATATCTTTCTACCTTCTCTTTCCTCTCTTTTCCAAAACACGACTCATCATTCTATGCCACTAATGTATAGCAGATTCTGAAATACTGTCATCTGAGACAGTTAAGTACTAAACAAAACATTACCAGGGTGGAGGAATCACTTACCCTGATTGACAACAAATCGTAACTTCTGTATTGTTGCCAGATTGCCGCTAACTCTGTATATTCCATCAACATCTAGACCTGAAAGAGAAACACATATTTCATTTTAGATCATATAAGTATTTTTCTTTGTATGTCTGTCAGGAAGCCAGAAGTGCCCTAACAAGTATGAAGAGCAGTGTAGTGAACGACTGAAAAATAATCCACCTGACAATAACTAAAGTGCCTCCTGCCTGATTAAATCAACAATGAAAAATAAAAGTGGTAGATTAACTTAAGTGAATACAAAACACCTAACTATAATTATCTTGTAATTCTGTCAGTGGAATACGGTTCTGCAAGGGTATTTAGTGTGATGGGAAAGAAATAGTGAATTAGCTCTTGTGCTCATAGAGAAGGAAGGGATGTTTGGGATGTGCATGATGTTATGCTAGCCCTGCTTAAGTGGGTTGTTTGTATTAATAGTGCTGGGGAATCTTCTCAGTCAGGGTCCTGGGTTTTTCAGATTTGAATTTCTGAGGCTGTGACCTTTCTGACAGTAAAGCAGTGAGGTGCCCACTCTGAAATCATGACGTGCATGAGACTACACACAACTACCGTTTCCCTACTATATTCTTCATAGTAGATCAGACAAGTTTGAAGATGAAATTAAATATCCCAAATACCATATGCCCTGGAGTACATTTCTTCATTAATATAGGCCATTCTTTTCAAGGACAACCTGACAGTCTTGTTTCTCCCTGCATATCTACTCAAGGTTTATCTTCTAGGTGAAACTAGATGTCATACTTCCTTTTGTGACATATTATCTCCTACAGCAAGCTCTGCTGATATGACTGTTTAAAATAGCACTTCCAGCCCTGGTTGCATAGCTGCAGCATTTCAAAGCACATGGGAAATGCTCTTCTTTCCTGGGAGAATTAGCTATTGTGGAACAGCGACCGAATCTGCATGCTTAAAATTTGAAAACACTAAACTCTACATTGTCATTTCATGTTTAAAAATTGCAAGTACGTAAGATACTAAGAGAATCTACACTAAACAGGGGTTTTTAAGGCTACTCATCACTTGGAACACAAGTTTAATTAGCTTTTGGCAAGGAATTTCATGGAAAAACTTTCTCTGGGAAAACATTAATTTGTCAAAACCAAAAATTTTCAGGAAATATTTCCTGATAATGTACCTAGAGGAAATTTTTTTTCCTGATTCACGTTCGGTGAAAAGAAAAAATTGAATTTATAGGAAAGAGTGAAAACAAGTCCAAAAGTCCAGAGGCAGAGTCATAATAACACTTAAAAAGGAAGGAGCTGAGGTTCAAGTCCTTATTTCAAAGATACTTGCATCATGCCTTGGCAGAGGAGGGCCATAGTCAGTGGACTTAACTGCTTGGAGGTATCCCTCACTCATCTTGAAACATTTTAAAAGATTTACTTTTCTTTTTGATGCAGACTGAAATCAACTGAAGTCTTTTGTTTGTTTGCATGTTTGTTTTCTCTCTTTACGAAACACAGTTCTGATTGTATGTCCATCCTGCTAGGAACATCCTGATTTGATTTCCATTAAATAATCTATTTTTAAAAGGAAGAATAATTCTGTATTATATACTGGTTATCTACGTCTTTTATTAGACAATTTTCTACCCTGCACCTGTGGGTGTCCTGCAACATGATACTGAGAGTGATTATTCATTTCAGGAAGACCCCCTTTGGTTACAGAAGGATAAAGAAAAAGTTTATTTAAAAGAAATCAAAAAGGATTTGGTAATCAAGAACACTTGGAAGCTATCCATCTGCTGTATATATAACATATGAGCAAATGGAAATTACTAAAATGTTTAAGTAATGGAATTCTACCCTAAATCTGAAGAGTCTCATTCTTTTTTAGCAAGGGGAGAGTGAGAGAGCAAGAATAATTCCCAGCATAGGAATGTGGGACTCTTGTGGTAAAGGATTAAGAATTGCATCATGAAATTGAAGTCTAAACCAGAATGAGGAAAAAAATCAATCAAACAAACAAACAAGCCCTAAAATAGAATGTTAACTTTTGTTTGGATCTAATTCAATTCAGTTCTTAACCTTTCTGGATATATGGAAGTGAAAGCAATACATGTCACTTTGGGTGAAACACCTATGTCTCACTTTAATAGTATCAATTTGGAACCTGCATAAATTATCCAGATCAAGTGAAAATTAAAAACAATGTTGTAAATTGGTGAATATTACCTCTTGCAAAATGATCTGGAGTATACAAGTGCATTATTATTGTTATTAATTTATTTTGGTCCAGAAATGAGGTCTGATTAGCATTTCATTTGGACACTATACAATATGGCACAGAGAAAAAAATAAAATATATAAAAAAAAAAACAAAAAACAAAACAAAACAAAAAAACAACAAACCAAGAATATCAAGCCAATTATAGTGTTCACGTGCCATCAACTTTCTGCTCCAAGAACTTTGAAAGTTAAGCCAAACCAAACCAATGCAAATTGGTGGATTTGGACATCCTTTTCATGACCACATTATCTTAGCTGGATTGTTAACAACTTATTTTGGAAATCCAATTAGGAACAAAAGAGAAAGAGAGAGAAAGAGAAATATGTCTTTATAGTTCTAATATCCTGATTCTGTGAACAATTTTCAAAGAAAATTCACTTTTAAGGGCACCTCTACCAAGAATAAAAACATCACTGCACTGTTGTCAGTGTTTCTTCAAGGCAGGCTATAAATACTTAGGGAACAAGATGAAACAAAAGCCTTGCAGACTTTCCTATCTGGTGCTGGCGTTTAAGTATAGTGGTAAAGAAGGTTTCTGAAAAAAAAGTCATTGTAATAAAGTCTAACTGTTGTTCGCTATAGGGTGACCTTCTTGTGTTTTGGAGTGGGATTTATCAGGGAAGAATCACTGGATTCTGCCCTGGAGGAGTACAAGTATTTTATTTGTTTTATAACCCAATCTCCAACTCTGCTTCTGTTTGTTTTAATGAGGAACCTGAGGACAGGATGGGCCCACAATTAGAAATGATAGACAAAAGCATGATAATGACTTCAGTATTTCCACTAAATTTTGTAAAGCTATAAGAAATGTAGGAAATGGACTTACTCAAGAATACATCAGTTTAGCTGCCAAACTATAGGTAAATTTTAACTGTTTTAGTTTTAAAAAATTATACAGGTACTCCTGGTAAGAAAGTTAAAAGACAAGTGAACTCAGACTTGGTTGAGATTCAAGAATAATAATGAACGTGCTAGTCACTGTATAACTGCACAGAAGATGTTAGAAAAACGCTTATTTAAGAACATTTCTTGCACTCCTGCATCTAGACAAAACGGAAATAACCATGAATGCAGGTCAGCGTCAGCTCCAGTAGCAGTTTGATATGGAATCAGGTATTGCACAGAAACATTACAAACACAGGAAAAAGTTAGACCTTAGGTTATATATTTGTCCAAACATATGTTTTAAAATATTAGTCTGATATTTGTTGAGGTAGTCCTGATGCTTTATGAACTGCCTTGAATGAAATGTTCTCATTAATTCTTTTCTGTTGCATAGAACAGATCCCTCTCCCAAATCACATTGCATTCTGCCTAAGCTTAATCTATATTTGACAATATCTTCAAACTGAATATAATAAGAAATTCTCTATGTGTGAGGGGAAGGGGAGTGGTGGTATACAGAAATTTCTCTCTCTGTTTTTTAACAAGATTTAGAATTTGAAACATACCATTTTAAATGGCACTAGGTAACTTCCTGCATAGAAACCCACGAAACTTTCACAATTAATGTATCCTGAAATAGGTGTGGTCCCCAGGCCTGGTAGGAGTTTTGTAAAAGAAACCATCGTGTTGGATTCAACAACAAAGTGAAGTACAAACTTGAAGAAAGGCATTCTTTAGTTAGTCCTTTCATTTAAAATCAGTTATGTTCAGGGCAAAAATATTGTATTTCAAAGGAGCCTATTATGTCTTCCCATAAACAGAAAGATCATACATTTTAAAACTAAAGTATCATTATGTAATCAAGCTGTTGTATTATAAACTATTTTGTGGGCTCAGATGCCCAGGGCTATCTTTACAAATATTTAAGAGGTCATTATCAGGGTATGTTCTCCCTAAAACTATAATTCTTTCCTCCTGTTTTCATATGCATCTTACCATAAATATCTGATATATAAACAATTTTTTAAAAGTTTACTAAGGGCACAAAAGCGAGGCACGAAGTCATTTAAAGAAGCAGAAATGGGTAAATACAGCAAATACACTAACAGCAAGATAGTGTGTCAGATGAGAAAAACACCACAAACAGTGTGTAACAAAAAATAAAGTTTTGTAAAAGGATTTGTATGCCAATAGAAGGAAAATCATGAAGAATAGAAAAGAATAAACCTGATACATTAAAATTTGACATTAAAAATACTTATCTGGATAGGGTTACAAAAGGTACCCAGAGTTTCTGGTGAATGTGGGAGCAAAAAAGTGGTTTTGTCTGATGTTATGGAAACCAGAGGTGAAAATGATGAGAACAATGAAATAAATTTGAGTTACACCACACACAGGAAGGAAAAATAGGGGCATTAACAGCAAACAAGGGACACATGCATATAAACTGAAGAGTAGTGTAGAGGAGGTGTGAGCTAAAGGTACTTGTACCAGCAAAACTGGTGTACAGCTTGATCAGCTTGGATTGAAAGGAGCCCCAATTCCTTTTGAACATAAGACTATCTGCACTCAACATGGTTTTCAGTGTTGCTGATATCTCTATCCTGCTTTTTAATGTGGTGTTGGGTGGGGTTAGGCATGCCCTAAAGCTCCTGGAGCAGGGTCGGAGGCTGACACCAGGATTTGCTCTGGTGGAAAAAAAAAACCTTCTCTTTTGATTGTCAGAACGACCCACTTCTTGTATTGCTCCCATCAAAGGATCACATTCACGAGGCTGAAAACAACATCCCAGCTAGTATCTGACACTAAAACAGGTCCCACCCCTAATCCAGACAAGGTACTTGGCTGCCATGGAAGTGGGTGCCATACAAACGTCACGTTAGACAGTTGTACCCGATAGACAAGGATAAACAAACCTA